GCAGGAGTGACCAGAAGCTGCAGGAGTGACCAGAAGCTGCAGGAGTGACCAGAAGCTGCCAGGCAAACATCTGGTGACTAGGCTATTCTAGCTTCCATACTGGGATAGACAAAGCAAATTTAAAAAAAAATTTTTAAAGGCACCGGAATTAGGGACAAACAGAGAGAGGAGATGAGGACAGCCAAGATAAACTCTATGAAGAATGTCAGTAAATGAGGTCAGAAGTGCTGGAAAAGACTCCATACAATATTTCAAAACAATTTTACAAGATGGAAAAGAACAAAGAAATCAACTATGGGATGACATATAATGGAACAACTAGATGATAACAATGATAAATAAATATTAACATAGCAAAATGAAATAATACATTTCTGATAGAATCAGTTAAGCAAACTTTTAAAAAACACCAAAAAGGTACTGAAGTGGGAAACACATTTACTGAGGAAGCAAAGATGTCCAAGATAAACTCTATGTGAGAGACCATAGAGGCCAGACTCCTTAAAACATTTTTTTTTTAAATTGTGCAGGATGGGTATGGAATGGAGGAATTGACTGTTATGTGATATATAATCTTACAATATCATGATGACAGATAAGTATTACCACAGAAAAACAAAAAAACATTAGACGCAGAATCAAGGAAAGAAAGAACTCAGTTTTAAAAGACAAGGATTTTATGACTTCAATAACTCAGTGATTGTTTCCCCCCTTTTTTTTTGGTGTAAATTCATAAAAGAATTCTGACCTATAGTGCCACAATAAAAAATAAAATCTTACAATGTTTAGAGAGTTACTGTTCCTGTTGTCACACTATGTCATAAATAGCACAAGTAAAGAAATAATTGAAACATTCAACAAGCATTTCTTTTTCTAAAAGAGGTGCAGGATTGTAATACAGGCTGTACCAGACAACTGATTTATAAAGCAGTTCCTTACTTAACCCCTTCCTATGCAGACAAAAGAAATCACCCATATATTTTCAGGCAGTTTGAATTGACTTACACAAAAAGCCAAAACAAAAATAAATGAAAACATAAAACAGAGACAGATGGAAAGAGAGAGAGGGAGAGAGAGAGAGAGAGAGAGAGAGAGAGAGAGAGAGAGAGAGAGAGAGAGAGAGAGAGAGAGAGAGAGAGAGAGAGATTCTGAGACAGATAGACAAAAATAATTTTTGGATAGAGAGAGACTAGATTTGACAGAGATACAGAGGAAGCCTGATAGACTATCAGAGAATGACATACAGAGACAAAATAAAAGAGACAGACATTGAAATGGACACAGAGAGACAAATAAAAGAGAGAGAGATTGGAGTGGAAAGAGACAGTATATTTAGCTGGGGGATACACTTTTTTCCACAGTTAAACATACTGTCAAGATAACTGTGAATGCAAGTCATTACACAATTCATAATATCAAAAATTCTGAAAACAAGTAAAACATGTGAGAATTTAAACCTTATGGTAGCAGATCAACTGTAAAAACTTCTCAAACTATCTTCTTACAGACTATAGTAAGTGTCAACCGTTAACACCTCCAAAACTATTATCTGACAAACCATGTTTTATCATCATCTAATCATGAAAACACCTCCAACTAACCTTGACTAGACTATATTATATGTTCTTCTTCCTCAGCATTCAGAGCCCTTGAGGTTCACTGTTGCAGATATCACCCGCATCCATCCTCTCTCTGGTTGGCCTTCTATTTCCAGTTGGTGACACTAAGTGTGTGCAGGTCTGATTGGACATTATCTCTACATCGTCTTCTTTGTCTGCCTTGTGGTTTACGTCTATTCACATATTATATGTGATCTTTTATTACCCACTTTTGGGGTGTAGGGTCTTTGAGCCTGATAATTTATGGCCACTTGGCTTGTTCTGTCACCATGGACTGTGCAGGTGATGATTTTTGTTTTCTATTGACACCTCCTAAACTATTATCTGACTAGCCACGCTGTTTCAGTTTTGACTCCTAGCAACAAACAGTGTTCATGCTTCCATTGCATGCATCCAATAAATTCTCACTTATAATGGAAATCTTATGAATGAGCTAGATTTACACTAAATGTCCCTTAGAATTTCTTGTATATATAGACAGAAGCCAGCTTCAGGCCTCAGAAATGAGATATCTGAGAAAGGTGGTCCAAGTGACAAGAAGGGACAAAGTCCGCAATCAGACAATACATCAAGATCTTGATACCCAATCCTTAAAAACCCGAGTGGATCAGTCACAGTTTTGATGGTTTGGACATGTATGCAGAATGGGAGAAAATCGGCCACCATGGCCACTAGTGTCCGCTGGAAAGACAACATCCGACAGTCCCTAACTGACAGAGCACTTGAATGGAACAAGGCCAGAAAGAAAACTGCTGATAGAGATCTTCTTTCTTAGCTTCAACGAAAAGGCCACTAGTTTTTAAAAAATCAAGGCACTTCAGTAAGTAAATAACTATTTTTTTCCTCTCACTGTAAGATAATTACAAAATGATTAACAGATTAAATGTAATTTGTAAAAATGTTATTCATACTAATTTAAGCATCCTATTTTAATAAACTGCCAGAATGACTAATAATGATTGCCTGGAAATGGCTAATGAAAGTAGAACATTCTATACAACAATGAGAAGAAGACAAAGTTCTTCGGTCATGTGATGAGAAAATGAGCACTGGAAAATACTGTGATGACAAGAAAGATTACATGTAGAAGAGGCAGAGGCAGACCAAGGGAAGTGATAGTAGATGGCTTAAGACAATGGCATGGACGAATATCTTTAGTGGAATTGATTCAGAACACTAAAGACTGAGATCTGTGAAGATGCATGAATGCTTATGCCAGCTGTCAAGGCACTTGATGATGATTATTTTAACAAATCTTTGTTTTTATACCTTACAGTCCTTGGCAGTTTAGGATTCTATGAATGGATTTAAGCTGAGTTGATTCAAGAACCAACATCACAGCACTCGGGACATTCCCATAAGCGCTCTGTCCACATCTTCAGCAGCTAGCAAAGAGTTCCGATATTAATGGTGCCAGAAGCATTCTGATTAAACATCTGTCTTGTCTTTCCTCTGAGCCTTATGCATCTGCCAGAACCTCTCGTCGCTCCCCACTGCATCAATCTCACCAGACTGTGGTGATCCATCTGCTCCTCCAAACTGTACATGCTCTCCCACATGGCACTAACCATGTCTGCTTTATCATGCATCAGTTTTCCACTAAGCTATGCAGAGCCAGCCAGTCTGTCCTTCTGTTCATTTCCGAATACACCAGTGTTTCCACAGTGACAAAATCCAGACAATACTCCTCACCCGTGTCCTCCGTGGTGAAGCACACCATGACTGTCCTGATCTTCCTCAACATGCTTTCTGAGTCAGATACAATCACGATGTGTGTGTGTGTGTGTGTGTCATGTTCTCTAACCAGCGGAAAGCTGCAGTGACCACCTCCACCTCCATTCTTAAGCTTGATGTTGTGGTATCTTATGCTAGACTCACTTGCACCAAACGTCAACCAATAACTTTTGCTAAGAAACCTCAAGTACTTCTTTTGCCTCTTGACACTGAACCGTCTGTGTAAATAATCAAATCCTCTAAGCGAGCATTACCTTGAATTAATTGCTGAATTTCAACCTCTCTGGCACCTTCTAGCGAGTCTCTGCATTCTCGGCTGAGTGTGATTATGACCCTACACAAGTCTGACTGTTCAGGTGGCACTTTGATATATATAAATGGATTTCAAAGAAAATATAAGCTAACCACAAATACATGATTATTGTTGTGAAAAAGTTACATGTTACACTTTTCAAATGGTCAACACAAGCTGTTTTGAAGAAAATGTTTAAAGGTTCAAAATTGTAATATTTTTTAACTGTAGTTTTTACAAAAAATTTTTAAGTATGTGAACCTAGTAAATACATTCAGTAAAGTAGCATGCATCTATCACAACAATGGCTAACAAGACTGTTGACAATAAAATATGTATGCTTGATGTGCGAAGGACATGAAAAGGGCCTTTTACTTTTCATCCAACTTTGGAAGACATTAGACTAATTAACACATAAACATACACGCATGTGTACATGCATGCGTGCGCACGGGCCCGCACACACACTGACTTGACCTGTCAGACACATGACTAGAAAGAATCACAGTAATGTGACGATACTTTTTACTTCAGAGTATATATTTACATGAGCAATTCCACATATCACACATTTCTCCGTGTGGGTTCTTGGCGTATTTTTGAGGGGGGAGAAAGCACATAGTACCACTGCACCTTTAGCAGGTCATACAAGGTGACAAATTAAGGCTTTCTGAAATCGGAAGTCATGAGGCAAAAGGTGTAGATATCACAGCCTAGCTGTAAACTACACCACATGCTTTCTATCCTATTTACAATTGTTCTGTCCAGTTGAGGCTGCAACTGCAGTAACATTCCAGCTACTTTCAACTTTAATTCCCCAGCTGTGCAGAAGGGGTTATTTTAAATTAAGGAGTTACAATGGAATCTAGAAGAGTGCTTTTCTTAATAATACAACTTGTACTATTAGCATGACGACTCTTTATTGGCTACTGAAGAAGGGGATGGAGCACATGTGGGAATGTCCCGAATAAAGTGATTTCAATTCCTCATTCATACATTCTTAATCATATAGTTGTCTTGGAGTAAAAAAGATAAATTTGTGAAGCAATGATAGTAGTGTGTATTAAGACCAGTTGACTTATACACACAAAGTGGAAAACATTACAAGCACCAACATTATAAAAATGACACACCCATCACCATTAGAAGAGCAGTTAGAAATGTAAATTATATATGATAGTATTCAGATGACAGCTGCCAAGCTCCACAAATACTTCAGGATAAGGCAAATAAAACTGACAGTAACAATATAACAACTATAATAAATACAAAACTGATAAATGTGGTATGTGCATATGATTATTCATAAAATGAGGCTCAGTACGTCTGTCATCCATGGAAGGTTATGTCTGTGTTTATGACCGATTGCAGCATGTCCTGTTTGGTTTAGGCTGCAACTGCAGCTGCATTCCGACTGCTTTCACCTCCATGTCCTCATTTGTGCGAAGTAACCTGTTTGCAATGAGAAAGCAACAGCTTGTGAACATTTAAATTGTGAATAGTCTACCAAAAGTGCGAAGTAACCTAGTTGCAATGAGAAAGCAACAGCTTGTGAACAAACATTTAAATTGTGAATAGTCTACCAAAAGAGCGAAGTAACCTGTTTGCAATGAGAAAGCAACAGCTTGTGAACATTTAAATTGTGAATAGTCTACCAAAAGTGCGAAGTAACCTGGTTGCAATGAGAAAGCAACAGCTTGTGAACAAACATTTAAATTGTGAATAGTCTACCAAAAGAGCGAAGTAACCTGTTTGCAATGAGAAAGCAACAGCTTGTGAACAAACATTTAAATTGTGAATAGTCTACCAAAAAGTGCGAAGTAACCTGTTTGCAATGAGAAAGCAACAGCTTGTGAAAAAACATTTAAATTATGAATAGTCTACCAAAAAGTGCGGAGTAACCTGTTTGCAATGAGAAAGCAACAGCTTGTGAACAAACATTTAAATTGTGAATCATCATCATCATGTAAGAGGTCCTTTGCAGAACGTCGCTCTCATCACAGTGTGCCTGTAAGCAACTCGGTCTCTTGCCAGTTCTCCAGCCTCATGAACTTTCACACTCAAGGAGTCACTTATATCCTGTGCCCATCATCGTGTCGGTTGGCCCCTGCCCCTCCTTCCTGGTACCATGCCTTCTGCTATAAATTTTTCCAATCCGTCGTGGCGCTTGATGTGACCAAAATATTTCAGCTTTCGAGAAACGATGCTGTTTATTAGCCAATCTTCCTTGATGTTCAGATCTTTTAAGATGTCAATATTTCTCATCTTCTCTGTCCAAGATATTCTGAGAATCTTTCTATAGCATTTCAGCTCAAAAGCCCCTATTCTCTTTCTTAAGGACTGAGAGATAGTCCACGACTCACATTCGTATGTAGCCACAGGGAAGATGCATGCTCTCAAAATTCTAATTTGTATCTCCTTGCCGGTGCTTAACCATAGACTTTTAAAAATTGTGAATAGTCTACCAAAAATGAATAGAGAGATCAACAAAAGAAAGAGAAGCCAAAAAGAAAAAGCTGGACTGGATTCTATCCATGATATCAACAACAACAAAAAAAGATGGAGAGGAAAGAAAAGGAATGGAGGAACAGAACGTGAGCCCTATGTGACACATCAGTCGTGGAATAGGGTGATGATGAGAAGAAAAACCTGTACAAAGATTGTAATGTTAAATTTATATAAATATATGTGTTGTCCATCAAGATGATGATGACCACTCTTTTTCATCAAGTATGAGTATGAAGATGACTGATGAGGCCGATGCGGGCCCGAAAAGTTCTTGGACAGTGAGGACAGGGAATGAGTGTTGTGCCAGTGAGGGTATCTCCTGCAGTCGCCTTTCTGTCCATCCTTTTCTTAATCTGTCTTTCTGTTCTGTTTGCTTCACATGTAGCCTTGCCCTTGTGTAGTGTTGCACGCCATGCATTTGGGTCTTGAAAGGCTGCCTCCCAATTTGTGTCAATTTATACACATACATTAGGGACTGACTCCATTCCTCTTCTCCTCTATAACTTTCCCACAACTTGTATGTACTCCAGTTTTCTCCTCACAATGTTACCAAAGATTGTAAATCGTCTCCTTCTCATATAATAAAATAAAACTATCTTCATAATTAATTTCTCTCAAGTCATCCTTCATATGTGTCAATTGTGTTCTCATCATTCTGCCACACTAAATCTGTTAGCATGTGAATAATGACATATTTTGAGAGAACATCACACACTACATGCTATCTCAATTCCACCAAACTTTGAAAAAGTCCACAGATGAGAACACATGTTCAAGTGTGCGTACACTTTTTTGTTGTATATTTAGGAAGAATTATGCATAGTTCTGCAGGTATCTTTGTACCTCTTCGTCTTCTTAGTGCTTACCAGCTATAAACTCTAGCAGAAAATTAGGTTGTTTATCCACTTTTGGACTTTGGTCTTTTTCTAGCACCTGAGTTTTGCATTTTGCATGCACATGCATTTGACAGATCCGGCTTATTTGTATGCAGACTGCTGGTTCCTCACCTCTCAGGCAGATGCACTCTGACTTTAAAGGAAACATCCCTAAATAGTCATCTCTTACGACATACTTGTTCGGGGGCAGTGGGTCTGTTGTTTTGTTTTCATTCTTCACAATGACGCCCCGGAACACACACAGGGAATATTTCACACCAAAATGCACAAAGGGACTTTTCTTTTCTCTATGACTGCCAAACAGCTAGTTGATCACCATTTCCATCTGGTCCTAAAGCAGATCACTATGCATAGATGTTCAGCTGATTTTCACAGAGATATAATTCCAGCTAATTTAGTGAGTTATATATGCATTCTGTGGATTCACAGTTCTTCAGAACATCATAGTTTTTAAATTTATCACTGAGTCAGAGTAGTTTTTGCACCAGTGTTCACATAAAAGGTCAAGATCTGTATCAGGTAATCTTGCGTCGTCCCCTTGTGTCTTTACAACAACTTTACCATCTGGGTCCTTTTCAGGATTTGGTCAGAACCCTGCGAATTCCCACTACAGCTTGGCCATCATTTCTGTAGTCAGGAATTGACATGAAAGAGTAGTTATCAACTGGCATAAAGTTATAGTATACATTTCACCTATCGCTTGTATTTTGGGTCGTTGTTAATCAATGCATGTTTAGCCTGCCAATAAATTCTGGCATTTAAAAAGTCCTGAATGATTAGTGCCACATATGTATATACATATACATACATATATTATCATCTTACCTTGTAAGTTCTATGACTGCTTCGTAGATGTTCGACCCATCTTTAGCACTGCTCTCAATGAAAAGTGCTTCTATTTCCTGAAAAGTTTGTGACAGAAAATAATGAAACAATCATATAATGTCGCTAACATTGCTTATGTGCAAGCTGAAATAGATACTTTTTTACGTTTTTCTCAAAATTAATTCTATAGGATTTTTATGCTGCTTGTGTACCAGTCTATTGATACTGTGTTATCACAACTGACATTACTGTGTGCTCAGTCCTCTGATGCAGCAGCCACAACAAGATACTTCTACTAATTGTTCCCATGAGGGGTTGGTTATAATTTCTTTTATCCTTGCCTCGAAGGCAGCGTAGAAGGGCTTTACCATGCTTTCCTCCCATGTCATGTATTCTGTGTAACCTGTATGTGGTTATTGCCAGGTCTTTTTCTGACTTCTATTGAACAGTTCCTCACTATTGATAATATTCTTCTTTGTGTTCATCGGCTGTGAACTGCAGTGAAAAGTTCCCATTATTTGTCCACTTCTGAACTTTAGTACTGTTCCAGACCTTTTTTTGTGTGTGTACATCAGTTTTCACTGACAGCTTATTTTTCTGTAGACTGAAGATTCCTTGCCTCTCAGGCAGATACATTCGACTTCAAAGAAAACACCCCTAATTAGTCAACTTCTATCTATGACATGCTTGTTTGTGGAAAAGGGGGGGGGGGGGGGGGTTGGTTCTATTCTTTTTTCTCAACAATGGGACTTCAGAACTCACACAGGGATGTTGACAATATGATACCAAAGTATTCACAGTTTTGAATATTTTTTTGTGTTTAGATATGTCTGTGCCATCTCTGCAATGGGGGTCAGCTGTAGTGGGTCTCTCCACTGCTATCTTGAGAATATTATTATGTGAGACCCAGTCTCTTTCACAGTGTTACTCTTGTACCACTGTCAGGAAGCCATACAAAAAAGTAGAGTAAGTAAAGGACCCTTTTCCTCGCCTTTAGGCATATAGGGCATATAGGGTTAGACCTATATTTTATAGACCAACCGGCACAAGATCGGTGATGTGGTAGCATCATGTGGGCTACCTTTACTTCCTGGGACTGCAACTGGTACCCACTCAAGGTTTAGTCGACCTGGGAGCCAAGGTCATTAAAAAAAAAATTCGGTTCCACCAGGGAGTGAACGCACAACCTTCCGATTCGCAGGCGAGCGTCCAGCCCCTCGGCTCCCAAACTGCAATAAGTACTAGAGAAATATTAACATTCACTAAAAGGGGTGAAGAGAGAAGAAAAATGTTTTGGTAACCACTAATATCAACAGTTATAAGATAAAGAAGATAGGATGAAAGGATAAGAGAATAACCAAACAGGCACTGAAATATGAAATAAAGAGACTGAAAAGATGAGACCTTCCAAGAAAAAACCTAAACGTTAATGAGAGAAGCCAAGGCTGCTCGACTACAATTCATGAATGATATTAACGTGACTTTACAGGACAGAACTGAATGAGTGAATCGACATATAAAGGGCAACAGGACAATGATGATAATATTAGAAAACACTAGAACTATGTACCATTTTTATAACACAGAGGAGGTTGAATCACTGATGAAATTACTACTGCATTATACTATGCATTTTTTTTAAATTTACAGATTGGGACTCAGCTTAACTCCTACTGGACTACATACATGTTGCTTTGTATTCACTTTGTGGTACCCCGATGTAACTGCTGTATGATATTCTGTTATTTGTACCTGTTTGATTCTCTTTCTTGAGATGTTAATCATACAGACTGCCATACTGGATGGGAAAAACGAATAACTAACACCCCCCCCCCCCCCACTCCTCCTCCCCCCCCAAAAAAAAATCCAGTTATGAATAAACAAACTGTATACAGCAATGAACAAACGTGACTACTACATACTCTGCTAAGGCGCACTCCATCATCATATTTGACAACTCGCCTCCCCTGTTTCTCCAGCTCTGCCCTTGCATCTGTCTTGTTTCCTACTAGCATTATTGGAACCTTCTTGTGAGACCCTTCCTGAAAGCAAGATCAGTTACCTATACAAACTACCAAACACACATGTAGGTTTGGAGTTTCAACAAATGATTAGTTACCTATACAAACTACCAAACACACATGTAGGTTTGGAGTTTCAACAAATGATTAGTTACCTCTATAAACTACAGAAGACTCATATATATTAACAAATTCAAAAAAACTAGATTATTTGCATATATAAACTACTAAGCAATTGTGTAGAATTATGGTTTTAATAACAAAGTAATATTACATTTAAAAAAAAAAACTACTATCACCTAAATAGATTTATGGTCTCAATTTTTGTTTTTTTGTGTGGGTTGTGGGGGGTTAACAAAAGTTTGTTTACATACATAAACACTCAAGTAGATTAACAAGTTTCAACAACAAGATTATTTACATATATAATCTACCAAACACCCATGCAAAATTATTGTTTCAATAACAAGAGTAATAAGCCTACAACACGTACAAATTCTATAAACCTAATTAGATTTACGGTTTGAAGAAGATTAATTACATATATAAAATACCCAGCACCTATAAACAATAATGGTTTCAGTGTTGAATTATGAACACTTCCATAAGCGTTCTGTCCCCATCTTCAGCAGCAAGCAAAAAGTTCCAGTTCTAATAGCACCAGTATCTGTCTGATTGTATTTCCATCTCGCCCTTTATCTGAGTGCTGAGCGTCTGCCAGATCCCCTGCCTACTCCTCCCAGCGCCATTCTCCTCAGACGCAAAGATCTATCCATTACGTAATGATTATGGTTCAAATAACATGACTAATTACATATATAAATTAAGAATCACCCATGATGAATCACGGTTTCAACAACAAGATTACTAACATACAAATTACTAAACACCTAATTAGATTTACGGTGTCATAAAGATTAATTACAAATAGAAACTATTGTACATCAATGTTGATTTATGGTGAGGTGTTTGTGGTGATTTAAAGCTAGGTCTCAATGTCTGTTCTTTTCAGCCGAACACATTCAAATCCAGCAAACTTCTAATTAATTGCCCTTTTTAACATGTTTGTTAGATAGGTCTCTTCTTTCTCCATTGAAATGATACCCCAGAACCCAGACTGTGAATACGTGTTTTCAACAACAAGAATAATAACATATAGATATTACTGAACACTGCATTAGATTAAGGTGTCAACAGTGTATTTGCATATATAAAACACTAAACGCTTATGTAGTTGAAGGTTATCGTTAACTTATTGTATTACCTACTTCAATACCAGGAATTAAACCACATCCCAGTATGGGACGCTATTTTATTTTTAAGCCCTTGGCATCTGTCAGCCCTTATATAATCTAACGATTGAACAGGGTTTCTGGGACTTGTGTGCCTAGGGGATTCTCATCCGATGGTGGCACTTTGTGTCACCAGGTGTTAATCACTCTTTGTGCAGTCCTGGTTTCATCATCAGTACGAGGTAGTTCTTAATTCAGCAGTGTCTATGTTTTAGTTTTTGTATCCTAATGCAATGATATTTTAGTCTCATAAAAATACAAGTAAATACAAGTTTGGGCAGAAGTCCTTATAGAATCAACAAAAATTTAGGGGGTTAATAACAGAAGAATGGGACAGGACATGCACAGTGATGTGTCCTTTATAAAGAGTTACCAATAAGTGCACAGTGAGTTCACTGGTTCTGAAAGAGTTAAACAGAATGTATAGTGCTGAGGTACCTCTATAGCATCCACCCATTCTCGAACATTGAGAAAAGATCTCTCATAAGTGACATCATATAACAACAGAACCCCATCAGCTCTTCTGAAGTAGGTTCTGGCCACACTCCGGAACCTGCAAAAAAAAAAAAACAGCAAAGATTTGTTAAAATAGTTGGCATTTAATTCAGTGCCGGCATAAATAATAACAATGTATGATTGTGAAAATGCATCTGTAACACATAAGTCACAGATGCTGTGATAAACTGAGCACTTACAAGTGCAAAGATGTTTACTAATGAGTAATAATAATGATGATAATAATAATAAAAATAATAATAATAATATTAACCGAGACTGATTAAATTAATTGAAAAAATCAAAGTGTTTACACTCAGTGTAACACTATCACACTTAAATTTTTCTTAATGAAAATATTGTTCAAAAAAGGATGTTAAAGTATGTGAATGAAGGAAACATATTTTAAAAAAAAAGCACATGTTGAACATTTAAATATAAATACTATATAAATTAAGTGTATATAAACACAAGAAAACACAAGCACATACAAACACCTACCGTTCTTGTCCTGCCGTATCCCATAACTGTAAAGCTGTTGGCTGTCCATCTACATCCAACATTTTAGTCTGAAAATCTACACCTAAAATTAATAGAAGAAAAATGAAAATGAAAGTTAAATATATTTCATTCCAACATTCAATTTAAAATAACAAAAAATATTCTTCTATAACTCACCATAAAAACACTACTGCTAAAAGAAAGTACATCAAAAATACATAATTTGGTCACTTTATGTTTTCGACTATAATACAAGATTTATGCTTGTAAAATTCATTTAAAACGTGTCTCAACTCATCAAGTACCAGTTTTACTTTTAGTTCTTCTGTCTGAAACAACTGTTACAATAAGACAGAGATGGCCTGGGTCTGAAGACAGTGGTTGGTGTGGCTGAGGCAGTCAGGGCTGAATAAGAACAGTTTCATTTTCATGCCAGATCATGCGAGTGTGCAAGGAAATAAGCAAGCTGAGAGGCCTGCAGGTGAGACTACTGTGAAAGGCAGACAAGCCATGGACCAGGCTGATATACTGAATGTTGAAAAGTAAGACGCTTGCTAGGATCAGGTGACTGTGAATTTGCAACCATGACCAGACTGCAAAAACAGGAAAATTAAAAGGAGTGTGGCCAGACAAGAACGCTATTCTGGCAGCCGAAGAAGAATAAAACCAGCACAGAACTGCGGGATTTAGTGAGAAGATGATCTGAGCACTAAGGGACTGAATGATTCGATGTGAAGTGAGGCAAATCTGTCAACTAACTAATTTGCAATGGATTTATCTAAAAGAGCTTAAACAAAAACCTTGTTGAGCAGAAGATAATATAACAATCAGAGATGCTGGCACAAAGAAAACATGGGGGGGGGGGGGCGAAGGGGATCGTCTTAAAAATAAATGTGCATAGTGAAAGATAAATACACTACAGTTCAAATAATATTAAATGTACAAATACTCCAAAAGAAAACTTTATATGGTTTGATGGGGGGGGGGGGGATTACTCCTAACAAATATTCTTAGGTTGTGGGGAGGAGGATGGGGTTGGAATTTTCGTGACACATTTCCTTAGGTGGTGGTTTGAATTAGAGGCTTTTAACAATAAAAGTGAAACAGAATACTGCAAATATTTTGGCCAAACAAGACCAGAAATGAAGATCTAAGGAGGAACAGAAAATATTCATAATTAGCAAACAGCATTAAAGAAAGAAGATGGAGATAACTTGGACATGCTTTCAGAATGCACTCTGACGGTCTGACAAAGGACAGCTCTCTGTTGGACACCGGATGGGAAAAGAAGATATGGATGACCTAAAGAAACCTAGAGAAAGGCAGCATAAAGGGAAATATTGGAATGTAAACTGATATAAATACCACAGGCAGAAAAGCAGCAGATGGTTAGCAATGAAGATAACAACATCAACAAAATGAAGAGAACACAGATATGTATATAAATTGCACAGCGTCTTAGAAAGAAAGAGCAGTGATAGAAGTCATGATTATGGAACGACTAAAAAACTTTTTTTTTTCGAAGGGAAAGAAGAGTTGGAGTTGACCATGAACAAGAATGTGGACATAGTATGATAATACATAAAGAAGCAAAAGGTACATAGCAGCTTTCTACAGGCTGTGATGGAAGGGATGTTCTGCAAAGGACCTTCCCATGATGATGAGAAAGCTTAATGAAACTCTACAAGGCTTTTTAGGAAATAATATTTTAGTTATGAAAATTTCTAAGGATAGGATACTTTAGTTATGAAATTTTTTTGGGATAAGATATTTTAGCTATGCAAATTACTTAATATAGGGTATTTCAATGATGCAGATTCCTGTTGAGCAGAGTTTGTTAAACAGCACAGTGTCTTATATTATGTTTAAAAAAAAAATAATAATAATTTATTCTAACCTAACGTAGAGCTGAGATTCGACACAAACTTTCCCTTGCATAATCGAACAATGAAACTGGATTTTCCCACTGCAGCATCTCCTGCTAGGACAATCTTGTACATTCGTTCTGGCGCTTTCGAAACTCGAGGTGGAACAACCATCTAGGAAAACAACAACGGTAAAAGGCTTGTGAAAATAAAAGTTGTATACCTAATGTCTTTCTAAAAAATATTTATTAATGTTACTATCATTAACATCAACATTAAAAACTGTCCCTTGACATGCAGAGTGATTAACTGAATAAATACAATTATAAAGTGGCAACCTTGGCCAAACTGCAAGAACTGCAGGTTAAAAGGGGTGAAGCCAGAAAAGAGCAATATGCAGAAAGCCAAGGAGAATGATATGTAAGAAGTCATTTAAGAAAAGTAAATAAAAAATATGTATAAACTTTTCTGAATGTCAGAAACAATATTACCGAACACAATTTGCATATTGCAAGAAATATGAATTACAAAGAATTCCCATTAATGAATTTGCGACCAGCTGCAAATATCTTTTAGCAATAGAAAACAAGCTGACCATAGGCAGGCAGCACTAGAGAACTCATTCATTCATTCATTCAGTAGCATGTCCCTCGCGGAACTTCGCTGCCATAACAACCCTCCGGAAAACCTTCCTATCCTGAGCAAGATGTCCTGCGTCTGATACACCCATCTGGAGATCATCTGCCACATCCTGCACCCATCTTCTCCTTGGCCTTCCTCTTCCTCTCTTCCCAGGCATATACCCCTCCATTATTGTTCTCTCTAGACTTCCATGACGTTTCAAGTGACCAAAATATTTCAATTTTCTTTGTTTTATTGTCTTTACTAGCCAACCCTCTTCAATATTCAGCTCTTGAAGTATGGATGCATTTGTTCTTTTCTTTACCCAAGATATTCTTAGAACCTGTCTGTAACATTTATATTCAAATGCATTTATGCGCTGTTCCGCTTGTTTAGTAAGTGTCCAGGTCTCACAGGCGTATGTTGCAATGGGAAAGATGCATGCTCTTAAAAATCTGACCTTTGTAATTCTAGAGAACTACAGGCAATAATTAAACAGTACACCACAAGAACAGAGGTTTCCGTATGAGGTGTTAATATATCATAAGACAGCACACCACAAGAACAGAGGTTTCCGTATGAGGTGTTAATATATCATAAGACAGCACACCACAAGAACAGAGGTTTCCGTATGAGGTGTTAATATATCATAAGACAACACACCACAAGAACAGAGGTTTCCGTATGAGGTGTTAATATATCATAAGACAGCACAACTTTGTCCTAGTTAACTTTTAATATTTCCAAGGATAGATCTTGCAGTTAAGTTATTTTAATTATTCAAAAAGCACCCTTAAAGTATATTAAACTCAACATATCTATAATCTGCAATCTTTTACAATGAATAAATGGAAGATTAAATAACCAAAAGTAATTTATAAGTATAAATATTCAATAATAATAATATGGTAACACCCTCTATAAATCATAACTATAACCTAGGTGGGTTGAACACTGTGTAAATTGCTACTACTATTAACAAATCAGAACTGCTGCTGTCAGTGATTATATGCTAATGGATATAATTAGAAGCGGATCCAACCAAAGAAGACAATATGGTTTGGCGTGCAGCAAAAATGATTTTTCATTTAATTAACAATGCACCTAACCAATGAACTAACTTAACTGAAAATCAAGCAAACTAACCAATGAACTAACATAGCTAAAAATCAAGCAACTAACCATTGAACTAATTTACCTACAAATCAAGCAACTAACTAATAAACTAATGTACCCAATAATCAAGCAACTAACCAATCAACTAACTATTGTTCTAGGCAATTTTTCATCTTTCCGGATGATAGTGTTATTTCATGCAACTGGGAACCACAGCCCATTGCATTGGTGTGTGTGACTAGCAAGTTGTGCCTTTTTAAGAAAAATCTTTCACAATTCAAGCCTGGAATTTTAGGACCTTTGTTGCTATCAAATGTATTTAGTGAGCTTCTTATCTGATGCTCAACTCTCAACCTTTCTGCAGTTGTTTTTTTGTCATTATTCCCATTGACTCATACAAGTTCATATTCCGAACAAACGTCTTATTCCAAAAAAATGTTTTCACTTCTTAACAGGAAATAAACTTCATGATTTTTTTTGTCCACACAACATGATCCATGGCGTGTTCCCATGAATCTACCTTAATACCTGTATCATTCACATCCCGCTTGCACACATCTTTATATCATAGTATAAACCATCCTCAACATCTTCTACCCATCTGTAATTAACCATAAAGGATGATAAAGGATTTCTTTAAGGCCCGCTATCATCCTCCAGCTCTCCAAGTTTGACACAGCCAACTAAGAATTGACAAAGTAACCACCTAGCTAATTAATTGTTGTTTTCCTATCACAAGTGATGAAGACTACTTGGCATCCAAAACTGAATGAAAATGACTTGCATTTAAGTGAGAACGAGTTACGCAATGTGTCAACCTCATTCTGTCACCTATGTCTATCTTGATCCATTGTCAGGACTGTGTCAAGATGGACTGAAAAAGGATCTAGTTGCAGTGGAGGACCAAGGCATCTCGAAGGCCATGTCTTGCTCAAACCTCAACTAACTAATTATCTACCTAGTTTATCAACAAATTTTCTAATTAACCAGTCAACTAATTACCTAATTATACAGTCAATATAAAGATAACACTGACAGCTGAGCCACCTACATCTGTGGAAGGAACGGAAGGAAGCTGTCGTCGAGTTGATCCTCTACTGGACTTGGAAGATTGACTGTATGTTGAGCCATCTCTGTTTACTGAGCGTGAGCTTTTGTTTGAACTTCTATTCCCAACAGATGGCGAGTGTCTGCTATCTGAAGGGTGTCTGTATGTTTCACGGGATTTTGGTCCATCTGTGTCACTGTCAATTTCATCTTGTGAATCAAGCTGTAAAGATAAATATGATAGATAAAAATAACTGGTGAAAATAAAGCTAAAAACAATAGACTAAATAATAAAAACAAAAAACCTTGGTATACATACTTAATCCGTTGCTGATCCTTGGACATATACCAAACAGTACATATATCAAACGAATTTTCACATAAGAAATAAAGAGAGAATAATTAATCTTTTCCTATAAAGAAAAAGAATCTTATTGTCACTTGCAAATTATACATTGACCGGGTTGCATAATAATTTATATACTGCCTAATCCTAAAATACATAAATGCAAATACAGTAAGATGAAATAAATGACAATGAAACCTCACTTTACTTTGCTGAGAAGAGGCGAGTGCCTGCTAGGAGAGTTATTATTGTTTAAACATGAAGGTGCCAGTGGAGCGCATTCCAGCGTTTGTAACTAATATTTAATTGTTGATGATGTTTATATTACACAACTTATTTGACTTGTAACATTACTGTATTAGGTTTATTACTGTACTTTAAAAAAAAAGTTAAGTTATTTAAAAATAATTGGTGCACATTCCAGAGTTTGTAATTAAGACTTAAGATGTTTTGGATATTATTTATTATAACGATGTAATAGTTTATGATTGAATAATTGTATGCAAGGTGTGGACTAGAAGGGCAGAATGTTAGATGTGACTGCATGCACAATTCTTAAACATTTGAGCACAATTCTTAAACATTTGACAATAAAGTTTGTTTGTTCGTTCATTTATACTGAGAAGGGAGGAGGATGAGGAGCAGATGTTATTGTTGGAGGGAGAGTGCCCTTCCTATAAAAATCTTTTCACTACCTGAACCTGGTTGAGACTCTTCAGGTTTGACTTTTACCAAAAATTGTGCCTTAAGAACTTAGCTTCTGTCTTCTCCTCATGACGTTTCAGAAATGTGATATTGTGTGGTCATTCCAGACAATGTTATTACAGTTTGTTTAGGCTTTGTTGTGGTGATACTCCTCTGCAAAGTCATTGACTTCTATCCATGGCTTTGTCTTGAGAGAGGTAAATAAAGATAGATCGCACGGTTGTGACTAACTTTAACTCATACAAGTTCATATTCCAAACAAACGTCTCATACCAAGCAAATGTTTTCATTTCTAAACAGAACATAAAATATATTAAACATATACCAAAGCTAGCTTATACCGAGATATATCTTTACTCAAGGGTGTTTTCTCAGTGACTCAATGAGTATGGTCAGAAAGATAGAAATGGGTTGGATCCAAAGATAGAAATGGGTTGGGTCCAAAGTTAGAAATGGGTTGGGTCTAAAGATAGAAATGGGTTAAGTCCAAAGATAGAAATGGGTTGGGTCCAAAGATAGAAATGGGTTGGGTCCAAAGATAGAAATGGGTTGGGTCCAAAGATAGAAATGGGTTGGGTCCAAAGATAGAAATGGGTTGGGTCCAAAGACAGTGTTTAGTGTCTATGAAGTGGTCATGGCTGACAAAGATCAGTTTAATTTTCCTGTCAGAGCATGCAAGTGTAAAAGAAATGAGCAGGCAGATAGGCTTGCAGGTAAGGCCACTAGGGGTGGATTGACAATGGATCTGGCTGATATAATGAAATGCTGTATTAGAAGTAAGACGCTTGCATAAACTAAGTGAGAACTGTGAATAGTGAGGACTGTGAATTTGTAAACATGCTAGACTGTAAGAACAACAAGTTTAATATGGTGTAACCAAACAAGAGGACTACTCAGGAAGCAAAAGAATAAGAATAAACCAAATTAGAACATGTTGCCAGCCGCTATTCGCTGCAGGATTTAATGAGCAGGAGATCCAACCACATATATTGAATAGTTCAGTGCGGTGAGGAGGATCTGTTGAAATACGCAAACAATAACAGAAAAGAAGAAGAGGAATGAAGAATATAATGATAGTTTACTGCAAAAAGAGGTATGCATGCTAATCAGACAAATAAATATAATTCAAAACAATGTTTTCCCCTTGTAAATTTAAAAAATATGGTTTAAAAAAAATATACTGCGTGGCAAAATTTAGCGAAAAGATTACATTTTTTGTGCTTCATTATATGTTGATTTAACTCTGTAGTAATGCACCAGCCAAGATATAGCAAAATACACCAGACAATAAACTGTGCAATGTATCGTTTACGTCCACATTATTTAAAAAATGTCTTCTTACATCTTCCTCCTGTTCTCGTAAACTAGGGTGTGCCTTTTTATGCTGCCTTCCTCGTCTGATTTCACTTTGAACACTGATGCTGTCAATTTCTGTATCATCTGTGGCATCATTCAGATCTCGAAGTGTTGAGTGGCCACTATCTGTTAACAGAGAAACAACTATTTCATCAACATCATTCTTATCCTTTGCATTGAGTCGTTATTTTTATTACCTCTTTTCTGTACATACTTCTACAAAAATAAGGTTATCATCGCAACTTTCTATTGACAAATCAGCCTCAAAATATTAATTTATTTGATGGGTTCAGTTTCTTTTTCTTCTTCTCTTCTTCTTTGTCTTCTTCTGCTTCTTCTTCTTCTTCGTTGGGTTATAGTGATCTTTTCCGCCACAGAAAGAGAGTGACATTCCTTCCCATTTAAGCCTGGTCGTGTTGCAGGGCCTGTCCTATGTTGATGGGCTGTCAAGCATAATGAGCGGCCAGCAACACACTGTATTTTACTCGTTGTTGTCAGCAGCTGACGATATCATGTTTTCTATATTCCACGATGTGAGCGCTTTCAACAACCCCAAAACCCCAACCTTTCCCCGTCCCCACTGCCTCAGCTAACATCTTATGACTGCACTCTCTTGTGGGATGTGGGGTAGGGAAGTTGGGGTTAGGACCAGTTATAGATATTTTGGGGTCCATAAGCACCCATTCCTCATCTTCATCAGCCAGAAAGAGTTCCAATTTTGATGGTGCCAGTAGCAATTTGATTATTTGTCCATCTTGCCTTTCTTTTGAATGTAGAATATCAACTAAATTCTCTGGTCACTCCTAGCTGTACCGTTCTCTCCAGACTGTAATGATATTTTCATGCCTCCACATGTTTTCACTTGCTCTAATACTGCTTAACTAACACATGCTCTTTTATTTTCTTCTACCCTCTCCCTCTCTTCCCTCCAATTATCTTTGTAAGTTAATTTATTTTAAGACATCTTCATTACTTGTTATCGTCTAATTATCTTTTTAAATACACAAAGTTAAAAGTTGGGTTAAAGTCGAGAGGACTTCACTACAGCGGATTTAAATCCATATGGCTTGGTCTCTCTGATCAGAATGGTTACCGACTAGCCAAGAGCATCGCACAATGCAAAAACTTCAAAGTTCTAGTTATAATCCTGAGGATCTGCATAAAAGATTACATTTGTGAAGTGATTGATACCGATGGGAAACAAACCACGACCTTCAGTGTGCGAGGCAACTGCCAGACCACTTCACCACGGGGACCCCCACGATCACTATTATTTTATAAATCCACACACATGAAGTTTCCACATAACTTCTCACTGTTTGACATACTATTTAGGTAACCTAAATAAAAGCAATGGTTTTCAAAATATATAATCCTTTGATAAATAGAGCCATTCTATGCTATCCTTAGATTTTGACCGAAAAGCCTATCTAATATACACTACATCTTCTTCTTCAGCCTCCATTCATCTCTCTGGTGGGCCTTTCTTTCCAGTTAGTGACACCAAGTGTTTGCAGGTCTGTCTGCATATTATCTCTCCATCGTCTTCTTGGTCTACCTTGTGGTCTACGACCAATCATCTCCCTCGTGTATACAGTTTTTATGTCTCTGTCGTCTGGCATTCTTTTAATTTGTCTCAACCATTTCAGTCTATTAGCTCTCAGTATGCCAGTTATCAGTTGTGATTTAAACAGATTATGAATTTTGTCGTTGCTTCTCACTCTCCATTCACCACTGTTTGCATCTTTGATAGCTCCAAAGATTCGTCGTAAGACTTTGTTTTTTGAAAACCTATAAAAAGACTTCATCTCTTTTAGTCGTACTCCAAGTTTCAGAGACACATAAAACGTCTGGTATACACTGCATCATAAAAGAATTTTTTTTTTCAAAACATATTTATAACAATGAAATATACACACACCTATAATTTTCATTATCTGTATTAGTTATAGTCTTAAATTATACTTTTTATAAGAAGTCCCAGCAGTATATCAATATTCTTCTTTGCCTACTTCTATTTCTTCTTCTCGTTGTAAACTCCAGTGGAAAGTCATGGTTGTTCACCTAATCTGGGCTCTGGTATTGCTTTATAACTGAGTCTTGCATGCACATCCATTTTACCGATCTGGCTTATTTCTGTGCAGACTAATGTTCTCCACCTATCTGGCAGTTTCACCTTTGAAAGAAAAACACTGAGCCAAACACTGAGCCTATCTGTGGTGGCAAGGCTCGCAGGTAGGAACAAATATCTCTAGGATGACTGAGAAGAAAAGTACGAAGTTCTGGTCCTTGTGCATCACCACACTAGTTCTGCACCTCTCCATCTGATACACTTTATTCAACGATTTTTTTTCTCAAAGGGTTGTCCGCCAACCTTTCAGGCTTTCAGGCCCAACAAATATTTTCAACAGTTTTTGTGGCAAATGCAAACATCTGAGTTGAGTTGATTCAAGAACCGACATCACAGCATTCGGGGCATTCCCACAAGCGCTCCATCCCCATCTTCAGCAGCCAGCACAGAGTTCCAATACCAATGGTGCCAACAGTATTATAATTATACGTTCGTCTTGCCTTTCCTCTGAGCGTCGAGTATTAACTAGACCTCCTCGACACCCCTCCCCACCCCCAACCCCTGCTGCATCACTCTCACTAGACTGTGGTAATCAATTTGCTCCTCGCAACTGTTCACATTCTCCCAAAAGGTCCTAACCACGTCCGCCTTACCATGCATCAGCATTCCACCAAGTTGTGCAGTGCCAGCCAGTCTGTCTGCCTGTTTTTTTTTTTCCAGCACACCGGCATAGCCCGTAAAAAAGATCCAGACAATTCTTCTCACCAGTTACCTTCAAATTGAAGCATGCCACTCAGCATGAAGCATGCCTGTCCTCACCTTTTTCTACATGCTTTGAGGGAAATATCTACACAGTATTACCATGAGCTATGTTTTTCATCTGGAATGCCTTTCATTTGTGCAGCGGTTGTGTCGTAGTATTCATTATAGCCAGTAGCCGGTTTACGTGTGGAGCTGGTGGAATACCTTATGTGATAATTCTACGTGTGTATAGCCAATTTATCAAGCCTGACTTCTTCCATAAACGACAAAATGCATTTCTGGCGACTGTTGGCTTTGGCACTTCTAGCAACTGGCTGTGCATTTCTTACGTGTGCATATTTCTGGATTATTCCAAGACTAATTGTTTGTTCACAAATATTTTAAATGTAACAGTGAGGGGCAGTTTATTTTTTTTCCACAGACATAGAAATGGAGCAAGTATGGGGAAACATGATTTCAGTGAAGTTGAAATCTCGACTAAGATTAGGAATGTTCTCATGAACAAAGGCTCACTGTGATTCTCAGTAATTTTAATCAACACAAATGGTCCTTAATAATAATAAAAAAAAAGCTTCATAAATGTAACACTAAGATATACCAGCCTGTGAGAAAATAGTACTAAAGTGCACATAACTATCACAGCACCTAAGTCCTCGGCCAAATTATCTTCTTCATCATCTTCTGTGAGAAACTTTGGCACAAAAATGTCCAGTGTCCGGGGACGTTCAGGCCGACCTCTGTAAATAAACAAAATATAACTGTTAATTTAAACAAACGTAACTACAACACAGTACTCTCTTAAAGTCTAGACAGTGTGTGAGATGATGCTGATATCAGTAACTATGATCACGGCCGACTGGATTTATTTCTCTAGAGAAGGCGGTGCTATGGTCTAGGAAGTGTGTTTTTCTGTCATTTTCCAGTAAGTCCAACAGATCATGGAAGGAATACCAGATGAAGAAGCACAGCCTATTCACAACATTTTGGATTAACGTCATCAGTTGCATTAATTTTTCTTCATCCTTTTTCTCCAGACGAATAATTTCTGATAATGACCTCATGAACCTGAGCCAACTCTGCTGTCAGTCTGATCAGAAGAAGTCCATTATTACTACTGTTGGATCACTGTTTTTGTACTGAAAAACACAAACCATATGCCTAAACAGTTTCCAGATTGAATCTTATAATCTTCGACATTCCAGAAATGTCTATAAATGATGCAAGTACCCAGTTTATGGGTGATTTTTGTTCCCTTTAACTTCACTATGCTGTTTTCTGTCCATGGTATTCTCAGCCTTTTTCTATGAAAGAAGATCTTTGAATTTCCCATATGACATCTCTACCTGCTAACATTGTGTGATTCAATTTCATAGATTCAGTTCACTCAACATTACTTAAAAAATCGTAATCACCTCAACTTACAATAGCACATTGTACAAAATTCAGGAAAAGTGCACTGGAGAGGATACAAGCTTATCCAAGAATGAGTAAAGGTAACCCGAAAACTTAATGTTATGGCAGTGCAGACCAAAGTATTAGTCTAGTTTGGAAACGGGTCTCGTAAGGAAGTTGTGACAGAGGCAGATAAAGCACTGCCTTTATGATCAGACAGCTTCTCTGAGCATGATTTGTTTTAAACGAAAAAGGGATAATGCGATCTGTGCAACACATAGTCTCTATAATTGTGCCCAGGCTTTGTGCTATGGAGGGGAAGAACGTCATCAACACCTTAACCGGTGTTGTTATAGGCTGTTCTATCCCACACAGTCATTTCAATATCATGGATGGAATCAAGTCTACCACCTTTGACATCTCTCACTAATGTTTTTCTCAAGGTTTCTCTAGGATGTACTTATTTCCTGAATCCATTTCTGTTCCATTTCTGTGTTTGTTTTTGGTTTAATTATCTACTTGTTTTTTTTTTCCTCTCAGAATTTGCCCATTATGGTGCCATCTTCTTTGTAGTATAAATGTTGATACCAGTGGTTGTCAAAATATTTCTCCCATCTTTTCATTTTTCATGAATTCATCAAATTTAATTTTCATCAGTTTACCTAGGCATTTGTTTTCAAATTGTAGCCAATCTACATCAATTTTACATTTTATGTCTTTAGTGATTACAATTTCAGGTATACAGAGGTAAAATTAACATATCTGTCTCAAATTACCAAATCAATACGATGTTTTCAAGTGTAAACTAAAAGGAAGTTAATAGAGGACTGATTTTGTTGACAATGTATTATTCTCTATGATATGGTCTCATTAAAGAATGAGAATTCCCCCACCAAGAGCATCGTGAAAAGCAAGTCACTCCGCAGTTCTGATAACCCTCGGCGATCTGTGAAACATCTTGTGCTTGTAAATATAATAATGGTGTCAAAATTCAAACTCATGGCCTTCAGAGCTTGAAGTACAATGTTTAATCACTTTTCCACACTTTTTGACCTCAATTAAATAATTATCCCAAACCCTAAACATGTATACAGTAAATGAGTAACGAATGTACTGAATATAAGAAACGACTGCAGTTGCTTTTATTGTGGGTTTCCTCGTTTGGAGCCCAATCATTTTCTATGGGGGGGGGGGGGGGGGGGGGGGGGAACATACCCATTGCCCTCTAGTAAGCATGTCATTAAATAGTGACAATTTAAGGGTTTGCAAAAACTGGATATGTTGGGCCGAAGGCACATATATCACTGCCTTGCCTTAAACCATGACACAACATCGGATTGGCATCATTGTGTTAGGTTAGTTGTGTATCCTTATCCTTTAAAGGACGTTGCAGAACCAACCCTAACAGCCCCTGGCTGTTGTGCGGTTTCTCTAGGCAATTTACGTCCAGTACTTTGCCATTGCTTTCTGGATGGTCGGCTTTCTTGATACCACTGTCGAAACCAACGCAAGGCGCGTGGCCCGCAGCTGGGATCAAACCCGGCATCCCAGCATTACGAAGCGTTCGCATCGACTTAGCCACAGAGCCGACCATCATTGTGTACACTAAGGAAACAATATATCCACCATAATAATGACACAATGCTGTCAAGATTTCTAATTAATCATAGTCAATGTCTAAATATTATAGTACAAACTCTATCATAATCACAACATAAATTAAAGTAAGATATGAAAATATGCAAATTTCATTTTGGTCATATAAGTAACTACATGATACATAAATTAAAAATAACAAATATATACTCTGATAACACAGTAACACTATATATCTCAATAATAACCCCTGGGTTTAACATGATATTCTTGAAAAATTACTTATACTACTACTACTAAAACATCTTAGTCCACCTTTGCTGAAGAAGTTTATTATTTATGTCAGTCCCCCATGAGGTTCCAGGGTTTCATTCTGGAGAACAAAGAATAGACTCTGTGTCCCCTAACAAGCATATTGTAGGAGGCAACAAATTAGAGGTGTTTCCTGCAAAGTGAGAGTGCATCTAATTGACAGGCCAGGAAGCAAAAGTCTGCATTGAAAAAAGCCAAATCTTTAAAACGGATGTGTATGCAAAACTCAAGTTCTGAATCAACAAAGTTCAGCAGTGGATGAGCAACCATAACTTTCTGCCAGAGTTTTCAGCCGGTAAACACTAAGATATATGTCAGTTAGGTTTATCATGACTGAGATTACGCTTGGTGAATGACTACAATAAAAGACCCATAATTCCCAAATAACGAGCCCGTAAACAAAAATCACCAGGAGGTGATGACGTCACCTGAAACAAGCAATAGCTATATCACGACTATACATTAACAGCTGAGTGTCTCAGAAAAAGCGCATTAAATAAATGTGATTGCACAATGATCCTGAAATCACATGCTCTAAGCGTGGAAGATTTTGACTCCCATACTTCCATATAACCCATTTTAAGACTGAGTTCAGCTGAGAGGGTTCAAGAACTGACATCACAGCACTCGGGACATTCACATAAGTACTTCGTCCATATCTTCAGCAGCCAGCTCAGAGTTCCAGTACTAACGGTACCAGTAGCGGTCTGATTATACGTGCGTCTTGCCTTTTGACGCGTGCGAAATGCTCGCTTGATGCACCGCACACTTGCCAAGTATCCAGGTATGCTTAATAGTGTTACAGATCAAAGTCACCACTCCCGCTCAACAGCAATATAGGACGCTGGATACATGTTGAACGTCAAAATATAATTAATGTATTTCAAAACCAAGACAATGAATCCACATGAATTTCTATACTGCCACAGTCATTCCAAATGGCAAGGCAACACACACTCCGGACGCTCTGGGCTACTTCTACTGCCACCCTGTTCCGTGGTTAACAACGAGCAAACATTACCTGCTCGTGCAAACCCACTGCTCGTGAGTACGTGTCTGTCTCTATGACACCCATCCCTTGGGTACACTGTCACTAGAAAAATCATACAGGCCGATGCACAATACCTTGTGAAGATTATCCAGACCTTCCGTCTGCGGCCTGACACGTACTGGAGATCTCCCATCTCACCACACGAGCTTCTGTCACGCTGGCCCGGCCTCTGCGGCATCTCTCGCCGATAGACTCGACACCTAACGCCAGCGCAACATGCGGGTGTGCAGGACTAGTCTGGCAACACCCAGACTAGAACCTACATCACCGCATCCTTCCTCTCCGGGGACTTGGAGCCAACCGTTTTTCTCTCTCTTCACATTGCGTTCAATGTGTCCTGCAAAGCACCAAGTGTTTACGTTCAATAATGAACTTCCCTTTCATTTACCCATATATTGCACACAACACCTTTCTTCTAAGCATCAAGTATCGGCCATATCCCTGGCTGCATCACTTTCACCAGACTGAACATTATTAGAAGACTAGAATACCAAAGGACAGAAAAAAGCCAATATAATAACATTAAATACACAAAGTGTACTACTTACCCTGGGTGCGCATCAACATAATCACTCATAATGGAACCTTTTCTTGGAAAGTTTGGAGATGGACTTCTCCTCACACTATGACTAGACTGAAAACAAAAACAACTATATAGTATTCTGCATATACATTTATAAAGCTCTTTTGTAACATAATAAGAATAAAACACTAATGTTCCCATAAAAGTTTCAATGTAAAATCTATTTATTCTTTGTTGAGGAAAAAACATCCCCACATTCTGAACAACCTGTAAGTTAGTCAGTATAAATATTAATAATCTTCTATGCTGAGTTGGGTTTAAAATTTACATCGCAACACTCAGGGCATTCCCATGCATGCTCCGTCCCCATCTTTAGCAGCCAGCGCAGAGTTCCAATACTGATGGTACCAGTCACAATCTGGTTATATGTTCATCTTGCCTTTCCTCTGAGTGTAGTGATCACCCCCCCCCCCCCCCCCCCCCCCCCCCCAATTTCTGATTACATCCAGGTGCCTCATTCTCTTCAGGCCATGATAATCTTCTTTCTCTACTGCTTCCGTAGCAATTTTCGCAAAGGGCCTTGACCACATCTGCTTTGTCATGTATCAATTCACCACCCAGTGGTGCAGATTCAGCCAATCTGTCTGCTTGTTCTTTACCCACCACATGGGCATAGCTTGGAGAAAAGATCCAAAGTATGCTCACGACCCGTGACCTTTCCAGTGAAGCTTGCCACTCTGCTCGAAGCATCCCTCTCTTCTCCTTTCTCAGCATGCTTTTATAGTCTGTTAAATTACGACTTATGTATGCATCTTGTTCTCTTGTCACCGGAGAGCTGCAATTACCACCTCCACCTTCATTCTAATGCTTGATGTTGTGGTGTTAATAATCTTCTATACATCCTACAAACGAACATTACTGATTTCTCGAAAACTTATTAGTTGGTTAGTGTTTGTATCGATCACATCTTATTTAACCCCAAAACAAAGAGTCTTGAACTTTATACAACTCTTAGTTAATTATTTAGTATTTATATCAATAATATATTGTTCCAACCTAAATACAGACACCCCGAATTATCACCAGCCCATAAATAAATTGGAAGGCCTATTTATGTAAACAATAGATAATACTAATTTTGTTTAGGTCCATCATGGGTTCAGGGATGTGTAACATCTCACATTTGCTATGCCTTCCATTATATTTAAACAACGGCCAATGGAAACCTGGAGAACTTTAGGATATATTTTGTAAATACGTTTAGCTGTTTTGAAAAACAGCAGCATCAGCATGATATATTTATGTATTCTAGAACTGACTTTCCAATCAATGATTATTAGTTATTGAACATATGGTTCGCTTTTGAAGTGATGTAAATCGCATGATAACTAAAATTTGAACAGCCAACTCATCTTGTAGAGCAATAGTCTGTCCCTGAAAAAAAATCAACATAGCTGTATTGTCAACAATCCACAAGCTTGGTTAATTAGTACTTATATCAATAGTTTCCTGTTTCACTGGGAAACATACATCTTAGTTATTATTATACCAATTTGTAAGTTGGTATTGCTATCAACAATATGCTGTTCAGCCCCCATTCGCTTCTCCATACCCCCCCCCCCCACCTCCAAATAATTTTTTAATTCTTCTAAATTCTTAGCATCCCATAAGTATTATTTACACCAGTAACATATTGTTTAACCCAAAAAACTCATATTCTTTAGAAATTACCCTGAAGGTAGGATTGAAAATAAGAAGAGATTACTGTCACATCAAAAGAGAGCAACAATTAAAACAAATACTTTACCAAGTTTGAAAAAAAAAAATTTGATATTAAAATAATCCAAATAAAGAAATAGGCAAAATATTATTTTCCCATCTCTGTGGTCATCATTCAGTAGGAAAAAGTGAAGCATGTGTACAGTAACATAAACTTATTAGGGAATTCAGTAATTCAACACTTCTGATACTGAGAAAGTGTTACATTACCTTGTTATAATTTGAGAATTTATTACTTTAATAACTCAATGCTTGAGTTTGAGGAGTAAAAATATTCGTTCAATGGTAAAGGGGGAGTTAAAGTAAGAATATGGACAGAGTGGGTGTATGTAACAAATGTATGTGTTCCAATTAAGATGGCAAAAGTAACTGTCTGATTATATATCCGTCTCGCCTTTCCATTGAGTGTTGAGCGTCGGCCAAATTCTTTGGTAATTCCTCACAGTGCCATTCTCCTCAGACTTTACTTAATAATTCATTAATATTATATTAGTCTGGGTAAAACAACAAACCCTACACCAATTTAAAAGATCCGCCTCAATGATATTTGAAGTATGATGTAATTTCAGTTACTTATTCAATGACAATTCTCAAAATAAAATGTATCATTATTCAGCATAAGTAAACTAACATTCTAGCACATCTAATACTACCAAGGGAATAAAATACTGCCAAATTATACAATGGACTAAACCCTCAAACCATTTTAAAGACCCATCACATGGATAAAGCTACAAAGAAAAATATCTTTACAAAATGTCAATACTTACTTTATATAATGCTGCAAGATCAAACTAATGCAAAGGAAAATAAAAACAAAAAACTCTAAGAAACCAAAATTAAAAACATGCCATGAATCAAAGCAAAACACAAAATGTTCTATGCATAAGATAAAATGGCTTGCACATTCTGCAATTCCTAAAGTTATTTTATTATTTCTAAAGAAACGAGGAAAACATTAAAACAAGGAACACATTAAAAGCAGCAGAAATTTTGTAAATAGTGGAATAGTGACATGACCAAAGAAGGCAAGTGTTCGATGTGTGTATAAAATATAATGAGGCTAGTAATCATCATCATCATGTAGCAAGTCCTTTGCAGAGTTCTACGGCCTCGTGATCTTTCATATCCAAGTAGTTCCTTATATCCGGTGCCCATGTTCGTGTTGGTCAGTTCTTATCCCTCCTTCCTAGTACCAAACCTTCTGCTATAAGTTTTTCATATCCACGGTGACGCTTGGTATGACCAAAATATTTCAGCTTTTGAGAAAAGATACTGTTTATTAGCCAACCTTCCTTGATGTTCAGATCTTTTAGAATAGCAGGATCTCTTTCCTTTATTAAACCGTGGTATTCTGAGTCTTCCTATAGCATTTCATCACAAAAGACCCAATATGAGGCTGGTAGTATGACCGTTTTGGGGAAATTGGCAGATTGTCATAATTATTAAATACAGAATAAAGGTGAACATTCTTTGAAAAAAAAATACACACACACACACACCCACCTACGCAAGCACCCACGCACGCACCCACGCACGCACCCACCCACGCACGCACGCACCCACACACGCACGCACACACACACACACTTACTACTTCTTCTTCTTGTTCACCAGCTGTAAACTCCAGCGGAAAGTTCGTGGCTGTTTGCCACCTCTGGACTTAAGACTTGTACCAAAACATGAGTTTTGAGTGAACATCCGATTTACAGGTCTGACCTATTTGTACGCAGACTGTTGGTTTCTCACCTCTCAGTTAATGCACTCTGACTTCGAAGGAAACCCCCAATTAGTCGACACTTATGACATGCTTGTGCGGGAGGCAGTAAGTCTATTCTTGTTTTCCCCCACAGTGGGGCTCTGGAACCAACAAATTCAATCTTTACATATATGTATATATATAAGTCATTTTACAAATGCTAAAGGAACACATGTGAATTTATACTTTAAACAGGTAAAAAAGAAGTAGGTGCAGTAGATCTGTCCATTTTTCCATATAAATGGGCCCCAGAGCTCACAAGGGAGGACCCTGGACACTGGATGTGGAATATGTATGTGTGTATATATTTATTTATATATATATATATATATATATATATATATACACACACACATATATATATATATATATATATATATATATATATATATATATATATATATATATATATATATATATACGTGCGCACATACACACATAGACTGACATGCATCATTAACATATTTTGAAGATTCCTGTGTACCCTGTCCTATATTATTTACAACTAGTTTTTATACAGTATGTTAAAACCTGGCTTCAGGATATGACTCGAAAGTAGTTCACTACTAATCTTCTCCAAGATTTCTCCTCTGAGATTAAGAAAGGCAGAGTGTGTTTATTTTGCATCATGAAAATAACATGTGCTTAATTATATTATGAGAGCTGCTACAGCATAAGAGCTAGATGCTAAGGCCTAAACCACAGACGCCAACAATGTGTATCAAGCTTATACTAAATGAAATCACTGTATCATATATTGTGCTGAAATTTCATCTAAGCATCTGCAGAAATTTGACTTTACCAATAGCCACAGCCACTATGTATTTTCTCTGATTGAAAGTAATTAATGTGTGTGTGTGTGTGCACACGCGCACATGCATGTATGTATGTGTTTTGTCTGTTCATGTGTGTATGTATGTGGTGTGCATGCATGTGTGTGAAGTATGCATGTGTGTGCTGGTAAATGTGTGTGTTCTATCTGTGCATGTTTGTATGTATATGAGTGTGTGTATGTGTGTTTTGTCAGTGCATGTGTTAGTGTTTTGTAATGTTTAGTTTTCTTTTTTAGACATCTGTTGTAAACAGTTAATACTGTCCTTTCTCAGACTGTTAGCCCATTCAACACCAATCAAGTCACCATGTCTTTGTTAGTTACAACTTATACATGTTCCTTAACTCTTTATGTAGCATCCTGTTACTTAAACTTTTCTTTCTCATAATGTTAATAATTCAACACGTTCTTCCTCTTCTTCTTCACTTCCCGTGTTACCATTTCAAGTGTCCAGGGAGAAATAAGATTCTGATCTTTTATAATATTCTGGCCACTTTTGCCAAAGACACATCATGCTGTTGTAGAGTTTCTCTAATCGTATCTTTCAATCTTGTTCATGGTCTACTTTGTGCTCTACGTCCTTCTCTTTTTGTGAACTCAATGTATGGTGTTGCGTCACAAGGCATTCTAAGTGGGCAAACCATTTGATTTGCTGTCTTTGTATGTAATTTACAATCGGTTCTGTGCCCATCCAAACACTGATTACCTAAAATATATACTTTCTGAAATTTGAATAGGTTCAATAACGGAAAGACTTCAGGTATTTCCTTCTTTATGCGACTTGTTTATTGTTGTGTGTTTGTTTTATTATAATGTTACCTGGTCATTAATGCCTAAAATTAATTGTGTAATGTCAATTTTAGCCTTCACCTGGCTGGACATTTATCATCTCAAAATTAGAGTGTGTAAAACAACAACAATAAAAATAAAAATGTTGACTAAAAAAAAAAAAAGCAACATGCTCATTTTAAAACCATGCTAAAAACATAACTTGAACCTACATCTGAGGACGTTGTTCTTTTATAACATGGTGAGGCACCAGGTGTGGAGTCCAGGAGTTCTCTAAGATTGTCATTTGTATCCAGCAAATTCTTATTGGCTTCACTGAAACAAAAGACAATAGAATATCATCATCCTCATCAATCAGCAGGTCTTTTACAGGGCGTCACTCTCTCTTTCTTTAACCAATTCCTCAGCCCTATGTGCTTTTAAAGCCTTAGCATCTTCAGTGTCTTGTATCTACGTTTCCGGAGGTCATCCTCTGTTTTGTTTTCTCGAAACTGCCCTTCCCCACCCTTTCCACTCCCCATCACTGTTGACTCCATTAGCATTCATTGGCTGTAAACTCTGGCAGAAAATCTCGCATTGGTCTTGATTCAGCACTTGAGTTTTGCATGCACATCTGTTTTACAGGACGGACTGGCTAATTTGTTTGCAGACTGCTGGTTCCTGGCCTCTCAGGCAGATACATTCTGACTTTGCAGGAAAAACCCCTAATTAGTCGCCTCCAACGACATGCTTGCGGGAGCGGGGGAGGGGGGGGGACACTGGGTCTATTCTGTGTTCCCCAAATTGAAGCCACATTATGAACTATACTTATAAAACACAGAATGGCATTTTAATTACTAAACTATACTTGGTATACAATGGATTACATATTAATTACTAAACTATACTCAGTATATAATAAATCACATTTTAACTATTAAACTATACTTGGTATACAATAAAGCACATTTTAATAACAAATTATATTTGGTATATAATGAATCACATTTTAATTACTAAACTATACTTGGTATACAATGAACCAAATTTTGATTACTAAACTATACTAGGTATAAAATGAATCACATTTTAATTACAAAACTATACTTGGTAAACAATGAATCACATTTTAATAACTTAGTAGTACTTACTGGAGCATCTGTAGCTGCCTTCGAAGCTTATCCTGCTCATTTACATAATCTTCAATTGTTTTATTTTCACTGAGAATGAAATAAAATGGCAGTTGAAATGTTTTATAAAGATGCCAGAATGTACACTGTCTTCAGTAAAAATTATTCTAATTAACACATAAATACTATCCAAAGGTTCATTAGTCTGATTTTTCAAATGAAAGTAAAACATATGACTCTGCCATCTGGCTCAGATCAGAACATCACAAAAAATGTTGGGATCAACATTTAAGGGGGAAAATGAGATGGATATACAATTAGACTGTTACTGGTACCAGCGGAACTTGAACTCTGCGCTTGCTGCTGAAGATGTGGATGGAGTGCTTTCAGGAATGTCCCACGTGCTGTGATGTTGATTCTCAATTGAACATTAAACAAGAAAAGTTAATTAACGGTGTGGAGTCTAGGAGTTCTCTAAGATTGTCATTTGTATCCAGCTAATTCTTATTAGCTGCACTGAAACAAAAGACGGCTGCTTAAAGTGTATATATATATATATATACATATGTATATGTGTGTGTGTGTGTGTGTGTGTGTGTGTGTGTGTGTGTGTGTGTGTGTGTGTGTGTTGCAAACTATTCAATAAATAAAACGTCTATGAGTGAAAAGTTCACAGGTAAAAACAGTTCATCTTGGGCTGGAAAGAATGGTGCAACGATGAGTTAACAGGGATTCAGCCGACTCTCAACACTCAGAGAGAAGGCAAGATGGACATGATAATGCTTAAATGAAATATTGTATATACTAAAGGAGCTCTGTATAGTTTGGCACATGGAATAGTTGAAATTTAAAATATTTGAAAATTAGGAAAAAGGAAAATGCAACTGTACTGTTCTCTCTGGATCAATACTACAGAATTCTGTAGAGAGGAAGAGGAGAAGAAGCAGACCAAGAAAGACCTGAATCTACAATCTAGCTGAACAGACTGACCTCAAATATGCGATGAAGTTCACTGTATCTGACTGGTAGAAATGTAGGGAACTGATCGGGCAGTCAGCAGTAACTAGTAAATCAGTAACTTTCACAATGATCTCTTTCGACCCTAGACAACGCACCACCACCACGCGTAATAAATGAGTCCCCATAAAAACCAACCAACACACAGTGTGTTGTCATATCTTTCAGATTTGATATAACAAAAATTAAAAAATGTCTGGCTAGACTTTATAATGGGCAAGCCAATGTATGTTTTCTTCTTCTTCTTCTACCTTTTTATCCCCCAATGGAGCATAGGCCCTCAACCAACTCACGCCAAGTCGTTCTATCCTTCGCCATTACATGGAGCTCTCCCCATGTCCTCCCAATCTTTCTAACCTCATTCTCCAGCTCTCTTCTCCATGTGATTTTTGGCCTTCCTTTATTCCTATGCCCCTGTGGGTTCCAATGCAAAGACATTCTAGTTATGCTGTTCTCCTGTTTTCTCAGTGTGTGCCCTATCCAACGCCAGCGTCTTTTCCTCACCTCCTGATCCACTGGAGCCTGTTTAGTTCTCTCCCAAAGTTCTACATTAGTTATTCTATCATACCATTTTATTCCCTCTATTCTGCGCAGGCACCAGTTAATTAATGTCTGTAATTTATTAGTAATTGCCTTCGTTGTTCTCCATGTTTCCGCCCCATACAATAGTACTGATTTGACATTAGAATTAAAAATTTTTAGTTTAGTATTTCTTTTAATTTCGTTTGACCTCCACAAATTCCCTAGTGCTATGTATGTTTTCACAGATGTTTATTTGCATGATGCCGATCTGAAATAATTAAGAAACTGTGATGATTGATATATCTGCACCTTTTAGCTTAACAGCACAGAGTTCAGCACAATACTGATAAGTAAGTTTCTATGACACGCTTGTTGTGGGACGGTGGGTCTACCCTCATACTTGTGAGCAGTGAGTCAACTCTTTATTTCCGTAAAATGGGGTCCCAGATCCTACACGGGAACAATGCAGATTTGAACCGAAGACCCTTGGGACGTCCACCCTGCAGGATTTCCAGACACTGGACTACTGTGGCTTCCAGACAAATAAATAAAAAGTATATGAGTGAACAGTTCACAATTAAAAACAGATCACCATGGTTTGGAAAGAAGGATGCTATGAGGAGTTAACAGGGATCCAGCCCACTCTCAACTCTCAGAGGGAAGGCAAGACGGACATGATCTAATCAGACTGCTACTGGTAACATCACAACTGACACTCTGCACTGTCTGCTGAAGATATGGATATAGTGTTTATGGGAATAATACTGTACTGAGAACACTGTCTGTTGAAGATGGGGATATAGTGTTTATGGGAATAATACTGAGTACACTGCCTGCTGAAGATAAGGATATAGTGTTTATGGGAATAATACTGAGTACACTGTCTGTTGAAGATGGGGATATAGTGTTTATGAGAATAATACTGAGTACACTGCCTGCTAAAGATAAGGATATAGTGTTTATGGTAATAATACTGAGTACACTGTCTGTTGAAGATGGGGATATAGTGTTTATGAGAATAATACTGAGTACACTGCCTGCTAAAGATAAGGATATAGTGTTTATAGGAATAATACTGAGTACACTGTCTGCTGAAGATATGGATATAGTGTTTATGGGAATAATACTGTACTGAGTACACTGTCTGCTGAAGATGGGGATATAGTGTTTATGAGAATAATACTAAATACACTGTCTGTTGAAGATGGGGATATAGTGTTTATGGGAATAATACTGAGTACACTGCCTGCTAAAGATAAGGATATAGTGTTTATGGGAATAATCCTGAGTACTGTGATGTCAGTTTTTAACTTATTTAAGACAGAACACTAACAACAACAACAACAACAACAACATCGCCAACAACAACAATAATCCTTTAGTAGAGTAATTTAGCGATGTACATGACTAAAGCCAGCATCACCTACCAACTGTGGACTGGTCTATAAAATACAGGTTTAGCGCTGTATTCTTAAAATCTTTGGGAAAATGATTTTTTTTTTTTTTTTGGGGGGGGGGGGGGGGGGGGGGGGGGGTCATTTCTCCAAACTTCTACCTCCGCATTATGGCGGCCAAACAAAAACCCTAACAGGGCCTCAGCCCTATGAAAAATGCGGACTTGTCGGACTTCCTACCGAGGAAAAAATCGCGGCAAAACTAGGATCGGCTCCGAATAACGAAACAAACGCTCTAACAGTTAATTGCGGACCTGTTTCTGCGACGATGCCGCACTGCCGACTGTATTCCAGGCGCCGCTACGCGCGGCGCGGATGGGAACTTAATAGATGGCTGGAACACACGAACAGCAGCTACCGCATCTCCTGCAACGTCTTCCATTTAATTTGCTCGTGAGTACCAAGCATCTAGTTTAGACTCCCCCCCCCCCCCCCCCCCACTACCCCGCACCGCACGTAGCGGTACAGAGGATACGCTAGGCGGTGAGTTTAATCGGAAGAACACTATCGCTATTGTGAGTCGGAGCGCGTGGTCTCCCCGCCATCTCCATATTATCGTCTGTAATGTTGCGTGTCTCGAAATTGTCAATGGTTGCTAGTATCGTCTGCTAGTATCGTGTGCAGAAACGCTCGAAGTTGTCACCTGCAGTGTTGCGTCTATTGAAAATGACAGGTACCCCTAGTTTAGCCGCGATGTGTTAGTCGCAGGAAGTTCGCATTTTACACAGGACTGAGGCCCTGTTAGGATATTTGTTTGGCAGGGGCAGAAGTTCGGAGGAGAGCCTTTTTTTTTTTTTTTATATGACTAAACGTTTTTTTTTTTTTAATCAAGAATATTACCAGATGTCAGGGACACAAATATATATTCTAAACGGTGCAATCTTCATGCGGCCTGAAATCGTCAGGCTCGTCACCTCCTTGTCCTATACAGTCATAAAAGTACCAAATAATCAATAAAATTGCATTCTACAGGTAAATGCGATTAATAAGGAATTGGCTGAAAATGTATAGTTTAGGCTGAAAAGTAAAATGTTGCAAATGTTGCTGTAAACTACAAATCAATGTATCAACCGCTTTTTTCAGGAAAAATGCAGAAGAAGAAAAACAAGAACAAGAAAAAGATGTAGTAAATAAAACATAGAGTTGTGTTGGGGGAAATTATCACTCACACTTCGAGTTCATAATTTTTAACTTCAAGTTGCTGTTTCACTGTTGTCATTTGACTTTTCACGAGGGCAAGGTTTGTTTGTGCGTCTGTTAGATCTGATTTGAGCATGCGGTTTTCTGTCAAGATTTCCTCCAATCTCTTCTTTAGATTTAACAAATGTTCTTCCTGTCCTTTATCAAGCCTGTTTTCTCCCTCCTGTCAATGAAATGTATATTGAAAAGCATAGTTTTAAAGAACTAATAGAATAAGTACTAATACAATAATATTTTAACCAAAAAAAAGTGGGGGGGGGGGGGGTAGATAGGTTAGTTGTACCCCACCAGGATATCACACAAGCGATAAACACCCGGTGACCCAAAGTGCCACCATGCGGATGAGGATTATCCGTAGAGAGATCCCGGAAACCCCGTTTAGCCATTAGGCCATATTTAAGACCCGGCTATATTTAGGACCCGCGGCAAAAGCTAGGGTGGGGCTTCAAAGTAACTAAAAATTGCATCACACTTGGGAACGACACTGTTTATAAAAGGGGGTTGGGAAGGGGATGGGAGAGATAAAAGAATACACATGAAAAAGACAACTACAGGGAAATTAGAAAATTTCAGAATAAATAAATGTTGGAGAAAATAAATAAAATAAGCATACAAGGCATTCCCTTTAACTCTTTGAGTCCCAGTCGGTTTTGCATCACAGGCCCAGGGGGTATTAAAAAGAGTCATAAAATGGGCTTTTAGGTAGGAATTTATGAACGTCTGATGCGTTCCTTGGGACTCAAAGAGTTAACCCTCTTTCCTCAGCATCATCATCGTTGTTTTGTGCCAATATGTGTCACAAAGGGTTCTAACTCTATTTTACCATTTTGTTCTATCGAGTAAAATTGTTTCAGTATCATAAACTGCATCCATTCAAGCACCTTTGGACATTCTCCCCCTCAATCAATTTTTCCTCAACTGCAGTGCCTGTTCGGTGACTCTCTGATCTATTTTCCACAAGATGAGTCCAGTATAGTGTCACAATTTTGTCTTATAGCTACTGATACCAGCGGGTGTGCGGACATTTCTCTTATTTTTTCACTTCTCCTGAATGTCTCCATTCGCTTGATAAGGCCTTGATCAGGAGCATATCGTGGATTTTTCTGTCCTGGATATACAGGTGTGCGGGATAATGAGCAAGTTGATAGATTGGCTGTGCCGCTCCTACGGTTAGTGAGCTGCCTAATAATAAAGCAGGTGGTGAAGTCTATGTGGTATCAAGTGGACAGTGCAACAGAACTGGCCGCCTCCTAAACCACCCCCCCCCCCCTCGCCTCCCATGTTTTGGGGCCTATGCACCAGGCTGGTGTATGCATTACTGGTGCCCCAAATTGTAACTGCTGGTTTAATAGAGTATTGAAGATTTGTCCTGTTGACTTGCGACCTAAATTATCATTGTATAAACTCACGGCGGTCACACTTTCAGATAGAAGCCCGGTTGGGGATAAAACTGACGATAACATTCTTCTTCTTCTTCTTCCTCGTTCACCGGCTGTAAGCTTTGGAGGAATGTCTTGGCTGTTCATCCACCCCAGGACTTGAGACTTGTTCCAGAACCTGTTGCGTGCACATCCTTTTTACAGATCTCTTATTTGTATGCAGACTGTTGGTTCCTTGCCTCTCAGGCAGAAGCACTCCAACTTCGAAAGAAACCTCCCATTAGTCGACTCTTAAGACACGCTTGTTGAGGAGGCAGTGGGTCTATTCTCAATTTCCCCCCCCCCCCCCACCCAATGGGGCTCTGGGACTCACACGGGGCACGACACATTTGAAGCAAGGAAGAAAATGGACGTCTGGCAAGCAGAATGTCACATGACAAGGCTATTAGAAACAGTAAAGAGAACGATCTGACAGATACATGCATCTGTGACTGACCTGTTGCAGTTTGGAAAGGTTAAGTTGCAGCATAATTATTTCAGAATCCAACTGGTGTCTCAATACTACTTTTTCAGATTCTAACTTTTCCTTCTCCTGTAGAAATGAAGATCAGATGTGTAAATTAGTTTTACAAATGCAATTGTATGTCTTAGTGTGTATAAACCAGTATCAAGTTATTACACTGACAGTCATATCAGTGTTTATTCCTTGGTTTATAATGCCTTAAATGGGGATTCTACTCCGCTTACTACCGACTTTCATTTTGCCTTATATGTCAAGGTTGAACAGGTCGTAAGTTAAATTTATAATTGTCTACACTATTTTCAATCAAGAGGTTATACCATTTGTACATAAAACACAGAAATTCAGTTTATGTACAAGACATGGAACCAACAATCTGCATATAAATTAGTCAGATCTGTTAAACGGAAAAGCGTGCAACACTCAAGTTCTGGAACAGGACAGCAGTCCCTGAAGGTCTGAAGGTTTTTAAGAACGGATCAACATCATGGCACACCATCATTAGTGCTCGGTTTTTTTTCTAACCCAAGTCTGAGTCCGAAAAAGCTCAGCGCAAAGGCTCTGTAGCACCAGCGAGGATCCTGAAATACTCTGGGTAGATTTTTAACTCAAAATTTTGCCCGGGCAGTGCCGTTAGGCTACTCTTTTCGGTTTCCAACTGCCAATGAATTTCTTTAGGTGCGCAACAATGCAC